AGCACAGATCACGTTATGGCGGAGTTCCCAGTAATTTGTGAATGGATGATCTGAGCACAGATCACGTTATGGCGGAGTTCCCAGTAATTTGTGATTGGATGACCTGAGCACAGATCACGTTATAGCGGAGTTCCCAGTAATTTGTGAATGGATGATCTTAGCACAGATCACGTTATGGCGGGGTTCCCTGTAATTAGTGAATGGATGACCTGAGCACAGATCACGTTATAGCGGAGTTCCCTGTAATTTGTGAATGGATGACCTGAGCACAGATCACGTTATAGCGAGTTCCCAGTAATTTGTGAATGGATGACCTGAGCACAGATCACGTTATGGCGGAGTTCCCAGTAATTTGTGATTGGATGACCTGAGCACAGATCACGTTATAGCGGAGTTCCCAGTAATTTGTGAATGGATGACCTGAGCACAGATCACGTTATGGCGGAGTTCCCAGTAATTTGTTATTGGATGATCTTAGCACAGATCCCGTTATAGCGGAGTTCCCAGTAATTTGTGAATGGATGATCTTAGCACAGATCACGTTATGGCGGAGTTCCCAGTAATTTGTTATTGGATGATCTTAGCACAGATCACGTTATAGCGGAGTTCCCAGTAATTTGTGAATGGATGATCTTAGCACAGATCACGTTATGGCGGAGTTCCCAGTAATTTGTTATTGGATGATCTTAGCACAGATCCCGTTATAGCGGAGTTCCCTGTAATTTGTGATTGGATGATCTTAGCACAGATCCCGTTATAGCGGAGTTCCCAGTAATTTGTTATTGGATGATCTGAGCACAGATCACGTTATAGCGGAGTTCCCTGTAATTTGTTATTGGATGATCTGAACACAGATCACGTTATAGCGGAGTTCCCAGTAATTTGTGAATGGATGATCTGAGCACAGATCACGTTATAGCGGAGTTCCCAGTAATTTGTTATTGGATGACCTGAGCACAGATCACGTTATAGCGGAGTTCCCTGTAATTTGTTATTGGATGATCTGAGCACAGATCACGTTATAGCGGAGTTCCCTGTAATTTGTTATTGGATGATCTGAGCACAGATCACGTTATAGCGGAGTTCCCAGTAATTTGTTATTGGATGATCTGAGCACAAATCACGTTATAGCGGAGTTCCCAGTAATTTGTTATTGGATGATCTGAGCACAAATCACGTTATAGCGGAGTTCCCTGTAATTAGTGAATGGATGATCTCAGCACAGATCACGTTATAGCGGAGTTCCCAGTAATTTGTGAATGGATGATCTGAGCACAGATCACGTTATAGCGGAGTTCCCAGTAATTTGTGATTGGATGATCTGAGCACAGATCACGTTATGGCGGAGTTCCCAGTAATTTGTGAATGGATGATCTGAGCACAGATCACGTTATAGCGGAGTTCCCAGTAATTTGTGATTGGATGACCTGAGCACAGATCACGTTATAGCGGAGTTCCCAGTAATTTGTGAATGGATGATCTTAGCACAGATCACGTTATAGCGGAGTTCCCAGTAATTTGTGAATGGATGACCTGAGCACAGATCACGTTATGGCGGAGTTCCCAGTAATTTGTGAATGGATGACCTGAGCACAGATCACGTTATAGCGGAGTTCCCAGTAATTTGTGAATGGATGATCTTAGCACAGATCACGTTATGGCGGAGTTCCCAGTAATTTGTGAATGGATGATCTTAGCACAGATCACGTTATGGCGGAGTTCCCAGTAATTTGTGAATGGATGATCTTAGCACAGATCACGTTATAGCGGAGTTCCCAGTAATTTGTGAATGGATGATCTTAGCACAGATCACGTTATAGCGGAGTTCCCAGTAATTTGTGAATGGATGATCTTAGCACAGATCACGTTATGGCGGAGTTCCCAGTAATTTGTGAATGGATGATCTTAGCACAGATCACGTTATGGCGGAGTTCCCAGTAATTTGTGAATGGATGATCTTAGCACAGATCCCGTTATAGCGGAGTTCCCAGTAATTTGTTATTGGATGATCTTAGCACAGATCACGTTATAGCGGGGTTCCCTGTAATTAGTGAATGGATGACCTGAGCACAGATCACGTTATGGCGGGGTTCCCTGTAATTAGTGAATGGATGACCTGAGCACAGATCACGTTATGGCGGGGTTCCCTGTAATTAGTGAATGGATGACCTGAGCACAGATCACGTCATAGCGAGGTTCCCTGTAATTAGTGAATGGATGACCTGAGCACAGATCACGTTATAGCGGGGTTCCCTTTAATTAGTGAATGGATGACCTGAGCACAGATCCCGTCAGTCACACGTGCCTCACCAAACTCTAGTGGTCTAACCAGGGTGGGCCACATACAACCGGTACACATTCACACCATCTTGCACAACCATCGATTTACCCAGGCGATTAAGACGGCATCGAACTTTCAATCACTCAGAGACGTACCTGTTTGAAATGGCCCACCTTATAAGGGAGAGAAACAATAGTGCGACTGGTGTTGGAAGTATTGTCTGGTATATGTAAATCAACAGCTATGTGCAATGCAGTGCAAACGATAATAATAAAATAAAAGAGAGCGAATAGGAAAATATGGGGGGGGGGGCGGTTCGGA